CATCGTCGAACCTGACGCACCAGGAGGGAATGATGGAAGCCAGCCGATACTAACGCTGGAGGCAGGAAGGCTCCCGGACATCCTTAGGTTAAACCTAAGGAGGATGRAGATGGASAGAGCGCGATGCTCTAATATGAAAGGAGAGGTATCGGGCAAGATGAAGCGCCTCATCAAGGATGCGCTCATMATTGCCGATGWAWTTGAGGAGCGACWGGACAGGCAGTCTGGCTCCCCGCTCTCAAGAGCTGAAGCGGTAATTCAGCTGAGAACGGAGGCTAAAATGAGGGATGAGAACACCTGTCAAAAGGATGAAGAGATCGCTATGCTCAAGAAAGAGCTCATGAAGCGCGAGGCAGAAAAAAAAAGCCAGGGGGTAAAGGCGGTTGCTGTCCCAAGCCAAGGGAAACAGGTGGTGCCAACAGCAAACAGGGCAACCCCAGCTTTGGAGAAGAGGCTGGAGGATGCAAGGGAGGGGAATGTGATGGCCATGTTGAGAGAAGTCAACAAGAGCATTGAGGCGCTACAACGTAACCAAGTAGAGCTGTGGAACGCCTTCACTTGCACCAATAGATCATCTCAGCGGGGGACAAGCTTGACCGAGCGGACTGGGGTGGGAGAAAGGAAGAGTGTTCCTACTCCAGGGACTTCGAGGGCTACCGCCCCAGAAGTGCCTACAGCGGGTGTTGTTGCCCCTTCACAGGATGGGTTCATCGTGGTGGGGGGGAGGAAGAAGCGCCGCTAGCTGACGGAGAGGACCGTTACTACGAGGGAACCTTCAAGAAAGGTAGAAGAGAACACCAGGAGAAGTGCCAGAGGAAGTGGCACTAAGGATAAGAAGAAGAAGAAGAAGAAAAACCGCGGCGGCGAAACTAGAGAGACTGCAGCGGTCTCACTGGTATGCAAAGAGCCAATGTCGTACCGGGATGCTCTTGCCAAGGCCAGGGAGAACATTAGCCTCAAGGAGATTGGGGTAGAGAGTTTGACGATGAGGAGGGGTCTGACAGGGGCCTTCATCTTCAGTGTCAGGGGGAAGGAGGCCGCTGTGAAAGCAGACCGGGTAGCCGAGGCTCTGAGGAGGACGGTACCAGAGGCCAAGATCGCTCGGCCATAGAGAATGAGATCCTTCAGACTGATAGGCATCGACCCAAGCCTAAATTTGAATGTTGTGAGGAACGCTCTCCTCACAATAAAGGGGAACTCTGACCCCAATAGAATCTGGGTTTGTGAAATAAGGATGTGTAGGGGACGTCTCTGGGAGACGGTTGTCTCTGCTCCGGTGGAAATGGCACAGGCTGTCATCAAGAAAGGGAAGATATACTTCGGACTATACCGGGAAAGAGTGGTCGAGCTCCGGCAAAGACCATTGCGTTGCCACCGGTGCCTGGCTGGGGGTCACGTTGCTGCGAGCTGCCCGAGCCCAACCTCTAGGGCAAGCCTTTGCCATCAATGTGGCCAACCGGGCAACAACGCGAAGGACTGCAAAAACAAGGTGGAGTGTCCGGTGTGCAGGGACGCCGGGCGCAGGAACAAGAACCATCGTGCGGGGACCTGGGAGTGTCCGGTGGTCCCTCCAAAAGGACAAATAACGAAACGTGCGCGACCGCGAGTGCTAGTGAGGCTCGGGTGCCTGGTGTTTCGGTGGGAAGGATGAATAGGGGGGAGGATATGGGGATGGACGTGGACCTGTCCCCCCCACAAGAGACGCAAGTGGAGCAGTAGCGCAGGACAAGGACTGCGATACGAACAGGTGTGCGAAGCCTGCAGCAGGAGCGGGGATAAGTGGTGTGACCATTAACAATGTCCCCCAGTGAACAATGTGTGCAGGTGAACCTGAACCATGCACGGGGTGCGCAGGATCTACTGATCCAGCGTATGCGCGAGTGTGGGGCGGGGTCGCGGTTATCGCAAAGCCGTGGTGGGTTCCACCCGGTGATGAGAAATGGTTTCACGTCCCTGGGGGGGGCTCCGCTGTCTGCTGTATTGGTAGGTGAAAGAAGAAGACCCTGCAGTCTGGTGCATAGGGGTAACTTCTTTGTAGCCGTTAAGTG